TTCACCGAGATCCTCTCGACACATGAATTGATATAAGAATAAAACTTGGGCACTGTGGTACAGTGTAATTCCATTATGGGTAAATTTTATTTTGATAGTCTCACAGTGTTATACAGTAATATTTACTGATGACGTTTTGAGCACAATTTATTGCTCATAATCATATCAAGGTAATCACACGACTTCCTAAATTCATTTATATAGTTCCATGAATTGTTCGTTTCCTGTGTTGTTTGCTGTCAGTTGGTCTGTCATTCATGTCACTCATTAGGATTTTGATTTCGCTATCTGCTTGTGGTCTTGTACATCATTATTTGTAGTTATCAGTAGAGTTTTTCCTACTGCTCCTGATCTTCGTTTGTAGGGGCCTCGCATTAGATGATTATAACTCTCCTACCTTTAAAATTCAATCGTGTTGTCGTTATCATGGAGTGGAATAGTTTCCACTGGATACGAGCTTTCACTAATTTTGGTGACGTCATTGTGGGAACTCCCTCAGTGTGCTCGTGGTCGTCCTCTGGGTGGCCGGAATAGATTGTCGACTATCCAGTTAACAATTTAGAGAGACCACTTCCATTCCATCTGCTCTCTCGAATTCCCAGCATTGCTATCTCGAATCTTCTCATTTCTTTTGCAATCTGAACAGCCTTCCGAACTTCAAACATCATGCGAAAATTTCATGTACGCATCCTTAATTTTGCTTTCATGGAAAGAAGACACCTCGACTGACTGACTTCCCAAGGGTTTTCACCAGCCTGCTTCTTTACAACTTTCCGATTTCGGCGAAGAATAAGTTTGTTTTTCAAAGTTTTCTCTGCGTGTTGAAGTTTTTGTAGCACTTTGTTTGATCTTTCGGGACAACATTGATAGTTCCAAACCGTACCTTTCCTCCTTTTCTGAGCTTATGACCGACTACTGTACTAGGCGAAATTATATAATCAGTATATTTAATTCTTGTAAGCTGGGCTATCACTGGTATATAAATCGTCCCATAGTCTTACAATACCCATGAACTGGCAGGGTGACGTGATTTGGGTTAGTGTCTCACTCAAATGTTCGGAAGAGTGGTAGGCCTACAATTGTACCTTGAGTTACATCGTTGTCTGGTAGTAACTAGAGAACAGGTCTCCACTAATCCTTCCCATTGCCTTCCATTCCTGAGGAATTCCTCAGACTTTTCCCTATTTTGTAGGTTCCAATGCTAATAGCTTTGTCGGAATATATGATTGAGAGACATTACCAAGTTAACAGTGATTCCATTTGGTCCAACTTTCTGTGGCTACGTGTACACAGTCTTTGTCAAAAAGCTTGCTTCCTGCGGTCTGCTAAATGACAGCTTCACGTAAAGTACTATTTATTAACATTACTAGTACACTATTTTGAGTGAAGTTTAACATTTCTTAACTGAATTTGTTATTTTGGATAATACTGGCATCCTTCTCGACTCTTGGATACTTCGACTAAGCCAGTAACTTATTCAGATGCGTCATCAATAGTTATTCTATGGTCTCGGTCACTGTTAGTAATTTACATGAAGTTATTCTGGTCCACTATACTCTCTATCATTACGCTTTAAGAACTGTTTGAAGATGGATTCCTCCATGTACAAAGATAGTATTCCCATTAACGGTTATTGGAGATTTGTTAGGTGAGGATGTTTTTTTACCTTAAAGAGCTATCGTTCAGGGGAATGATATCTTTCTGCGACCTCTACCAACATTGTAATGGATTTGACGCCGAATGCAATCAAGGATGAGTTCTACCATCAAGTGAGTGACCTTCTCCACTGAAGGTGGTTGGTCGACAGATATGATTATGGTGACTGGAAGGTTGAGTGGAAAAATGAGTCATTCAAACTCGAGGGTGAGTTATTTAGGTGGTTAATGGAGATCGGTATATGGTGACTGGGAGGCGTGTAAGTAAGGGTCACTACTTTCTACAGGTGTGTGTGTGTGTGTGTGTGTGTGTAGGAGAAATTATTTTGAAGTGTCATGAAATTTTGACACAACCATCACTGTTGTGATTTCCGTTACTGAGATGTCGACTGAAACAGACTGTCAGCTGTCTATGGGTGGTGTGGGTTGATGCTTTGTTTGTGCTCTTGCGCGAAGAGTGATCGTGTTTTGTTGTGTTCCAAGTTTGTTTTGTGTTTCGGTGGTTATTATAGTTGTGTATGTGAATAGATTGACTTGTGTATGTTGGTTGCACGTAGTGGTGGTGATTGTCAAGGTGAAGGAAGAATAGTAGTGAAGGATGGTAGTTACTGATCCGCTGAAAGTTTTGGGTGAGTAATAGTTGCAGTTTTTTGATGTCAGTGAAGATGTGATAGGCGAAGTAAGTTTTGTTTTGAGAGGAAGTCCGGTGAATGAGGTGTGGATTTGTGTGAGTTAGTTGCAACATGTTGAAGCTGATCGATCTATGTGAGTGATTAGGAAGTGGACTAGTTTTTGAAAGTGACTTGCTGGAGAAGTCTTTGAAGAATGAGGGTCGAGGTGTTTGTTGGCGAGATTGTGATTCTCGAGGTGAGTAGAATTAGCTCAGCTGAGCAAGTGTTAGAGAAATGAATCTTGTAAATTTGGTTATCTCTGAGTAATTCGAAAGTAATAAAATTGCATTGGATTTCATTGGAATAAAGTTCGTGGTTGATCTCATGTTTATCTCTTATCAGTTGCTTAGTCACTGTCAAAAGTTGGACAGACATGTGTTGTACTTGCCTACATTGAGGATGTATTCTGTTAATTAAATACGTTTTAGTGTATAAAACATTTTGTGTGTATGTAAAACTTGGGCTTTGTGAACTGTGGATATCTGGTGGCTCTGCGTGTTTGGCTATCTATGTCCCAGTAGATTTGCTTGAATGCGTGTATGCACTTCTGCAGATTGACAGTGCTCAGCTTTGGCGATGTCGTGTTGGGACAAAAGCTTCACTGGCTTTGGCATTTATCAGGTTGTCTCTTTAGAAATTATTATGTGTTTTACTATTTGGCATATCTGTAGCGGTTTGAAAGGATTGGAAAGGTGGTCAGTCTATGATTTAGCTCTGTGGTATGAAAGATGTTTGTGCTGGGTTATTATGTCTGAGTGCATCATGACTCACTGGGTGGAATTAAGGGATCACACAACTCATTGTCTACAGAAATCACTCATGATGAAGTCAATAGTGGTCATGTTGCATCTGTCAAGAGTAATTAAATAGTAAGTTACAGGATACATTAGCCTTTACTGTCATTTGGACATTGTCTTCATGTATGTCGAGGATGTCACTTTAACTGACATCGACATCGAAAGCTATACACTTGGAAATTCTACAGAAATGAATATACTGAAGACAGTCTTCAGATATTCTCTAGTACTCTATGTCGAGTTGCATTCATTTAAATATGACTAGAGCTTCAAGTCACTAGTTTGATTGTCGTCTTTTAGTTTCAGTATCAAAGTACTAATCCGTCTGTTTACTTCAAGTGCCTGAGATTCTTTATTGGCATTGGTGCAACAAGTGTAGCTTACAACATGAGCGGACTTATATATCGTTGTTGAGTAAAATTTGTATTTTTTTATAGTAATTTTTACTGTATTTGTAATTAGATTATCTATTATTTTGGTTTAAAGGTTAATCAGCAGCTTATAAAAACATCTTGTAACTTTCTCAGGAGACTAACTTTCAGTTCATAAGATGTTCATTCATTTGTTACCTCTTTGTAACTAGTAGAATATCCTAAATATAATACTAAAGTAAATGTCTTCACGAACCACGACCAGTTAAAGAACCACTAAAGATTATGAAACAGATAGGTGTTTATGTCATTTCTGGACTCCTGCAATGCGTACCCTCTACCACACCTCATTCACTTCCCCTGACTTCATGACTGACGGGTTTATAAAGTCGGGTATGAGCACAGATGCTCACCGACGAAATTGGGTGGCAGTCGTGTTCCTTTTCTAATTAAGTAAAGTTAATGTTCACTGACCATTGGAGATCTGTTGTCCATTTCAGTATAAAGTTTGGATAGTGAAAGCTTCGATATGAAGTTGCCGCTCTGGTTTCAAAAGTCTCCAAACTCTCTAACAGTTCCTAGAGTTAACATATTGCGAAGAAACTGTCTTTGCAATAGCATTAACGGTTGGAGTAAAGCAAAGAATTAAAGTGGGCGGAGAAAAGAAATTTTCGCGCTCTTGGAAGCTTGTGGGGAGTTGTTTTTCTTACGGTTGTCATGCTGTGGAGGTTCATTTACCATCCAATTACATGAACGAGTAGAAGGGGAAGTTTTCTTGTGACAGAATAGCTAAAGGGTAGGTTGTTTAAAGCCAGTTACCTGCACCTTTCTTCGAGACGACAGCTACAGTAGATTTTAGCCTTAACCAAGATGCTGACCACGGGCTGTAGTCTGCCTCTGGTTGATTAGGAATATGCAATTGTTTGGACCTACCTTTTCTCATCCTTCTTTACTGCTTCCACATCCCTTCCTACTAGTAGTGTAATTTCATCTTCACACTCCCACTGTAGTGTGTAGTATACGCTATGATGGTAGCTGCTTTCTTCAGTGTAAACATTATCCCTGCGACTTTTCTGGTATGGTAAAACTCGTAGGAGCATTTGTTTCATTCAGCATAGTTCGTCGGGTCATCTAGATATGCTAAGTCCGAAAAACTCATTAAAGATTAACTTCATGGTCGAGTCCCTAAATTCATAATAAGGTGTTGTAACCAGTGGGATTCACCGAGTTGAATTTATAGGCGGACAAATATTTAAGCATTCGACTGTTTTTTTCTTGTAGTTCAGTAAGTAGTGTGCAAAGTCACTGGCTAAAGGAGTAACTTGTGTTTTTTAATGAATGAATTTCGTTTTGTATACATGTATGCTTTTTGCCTCATGTACTATTCATTTATTTTCTAGATACCTTCATTCAGTTCTACAGAAGAATCGAGTTGTCACTGAACAAAACTGTGGTACGCTAGTTGAAGCTCTTCGACTGATTGCTGAGATTTTGATCTGGGGTGACCAAAATGATAGTTCAGTTATGGAGTAATGTGTCAATATGCCTTCTACATTATAATTAATTATTATTATTCCTTAATTTACTAACAGTTTTTTCCTTGAGAAGAATATTCTTGAATACTTTTTACAGTATATGAAGCAGGATTTAAGTCGAAGAATTTGTGTCCAACTATTGCAAACTTTAAATATCCTATTTGAAAATATCACAAATCAAACAGCCATTTGTAAATACTATAAGCCTGATTATTTTATTCATTTACAAACATTCTAGATTACCTTTTATCTAACAATCATACAAATGCTATCATCACACATCGGTTCGATTTTACTGATGAAGAAGTAGATTTTGCATATTTTTAAAAAATGAATTTTTCTTCCAGGTGATGGCATATTATATTTCATTTTTGAAGATATTATCGTTTCGTCTCAACTCAAGTACAATCAATTTTTTCTACATTGAGGTAGAATTCATTTTTGCATATCTTCCCTTTATCATCATGTTGTTTTCCAGTCTCGTCGAGAATTTGATTTGTATGTTGAAGCTATTAAACTGTTTGCTCATCCAGAGGGTATGGTTCGTATTGCTGTACGTACTATAACTCTCAATGTACATAAAGGTATTTATCGCTTAAATTCACTTTCTCATGTATTTCTTAATCACTAGTTAAAGATGAAGCTGCTTTAGAATTTATTCATCATCAAACGTCATTAAGTTATTTTTCACATCTTGTCTGGTCAATAGGAAATACAATATTAGATATTGACTGTCATAAGTAAGTTTTACCTTTACAGTTGTTTCTTATTTCTTCTTCATTTCATTATTTTGACCTACAAAATAATAAGTCCGTTAGCCGTATTGTTTGTTTGTATTGTGTATTATACATCTGTTATGACTTAATTTTGTGTTTTTCCCTAACTCAGTAGGACAGTTTCTCCATTCTACATATGCAAAAGCCTTGCTTTAGCTAGTGTACGATCTGAATGAAAAGAAATCGTCTTTCAGTACATAGGTAGAAGAAATATCGTATGATTTTTGATGTGGTTCAATGCAATATTTCATAGACTAGATGTCAAAGTCCAAGAAAAAAAATGAATACTAATTTATGAGTTAACAGTCGTTCTCAGCATTTCAGCGGGAATAAGTAGTACTTCGTGACTACACTGTTTTGATAGGTTTCTAGCCGGTGTTCATTTGCAATAACGATGAAAGTCTCATAGTTAAACTACTCTGGTTCAGTCGGGCAGTTAGTCGACAGCTAGTTTTGAATCTAGATTGGTTTGATATTTAACTGCACTAGCTAGTGTAAAAAAAATTGAACGGGGTTTATTATAGATGCGTAATCGCAAAAAGAATCTGGCACATACTAAAAGCAAAGTTCATAGGAAACGACATTCTAGTATGCAGTCACTTTATCAGTAACTGACAGCACGGTGATATATTTGAACGGCAAAGAAAGCTCGCCAGGTAATACAACAGTAATAGCTTTACCTGAAGTCGGTGTCGGTTAGAAATAGTTTTTAATCTGCGCAAGATTGCAGGAAACGGTCATCATTGTCTGACCACCGACCATCTTGTTTTCTTATTGATCAAATAATCGACTCTCCTCTGAGCTTGGGCTTCAAACGTGTACATTGAATTCCCCATCTAGCACTATGAAATCTATTGAGTGATGAGCTAGTGTAATAAGGCCACTTACGTAATAGAATCCACCCTTAATTGAATCCAGGTTCCAGTTTGTTAGTTTGTAGACTGTGTTGATTGGAAGGCAAAACTTCTGTGCTAGGTCATGCAAGTAAAAGTTACTGGGAACTCAGTCGAGTAGTGCAGCTTTTACCTTAGTAATTAGTACAACTCAGATACTAGGTAAAGTCGACGCCGATGCTACAGGTTACCTAAAGAAACGTACATGAAAAGTACTTTTTGATGGGCGAAGTTATTTGAAGTGCTTCACTTTGTTTCTGAATGCAGGTCTCTGAAATGCAGCATACACTAATAAGGAGATTTTTAAGGTACTGAATAAAAATATACACGTTCTACGGTTTGCTTGTGTGTGTGGATGTTGTAGGTAGCAAGAGTGGACACAACACGTAGTGTCCAAGTAATTGTGACCAAAATAGACTCATACAGTATTCGTCTGTTTCCGGTCGCAGAGCTCATGCTTACGAAAAACTTAGTCTCAGATTATATTTATCATGGCAATTAATCCCCCTGATGAAAAAATGTATGACTTCTAGAATCACCGCATGTATTCTGGAGGACAGTTCACTTATCTCATGCATAAGACCATTTTATTAAGGGCCTTCGCAGCTGATGTCAGTACAACGGAAGACACTTGTTGCTTCTCGCTTTAAGATTCATCCGAGCCACTTTACTAGCAGCTTTTCCATAAATTTATTACTTGTTTCGATCATTTTGAATACTTTGTAGTGAATAATTTATTTTTATGCATATTTCCTTGATAGGTGTCAAATGAGGCTGAAAGACTTAGTTGCAGAACACATTGATCATTTACACTATATCGATGATATTTTTTCATTGGATATAGAAGGATTAAATGAAGTATTGTGTGATCAATTATTAAGGCGGTTATTACTACCATTACATATATATTCATTATTTAAACAGTACAAATCGGAAGCGAAAGCAACGACAACAGTAGGTTGACTATTTTTCATTATGAGAGTTGTAATTACTTATGGAGCATGCAGTTTATTCAGATTTTCTTGTTTTCATCATCCATTTCGATACTATTTTAGTTTTATTTATATCTGTAGAAAAGAAAAGTATTTTTAGTTATAGCTTTAAACCGTAGGGATTTTGTCCCAAAATGCAATTATAATGGATTTGTTACCATATATAAGTATCACTCTAAAATTGACGGGAGCATATGTAGTGCATAACAAATTATCGTCTGCTCTGAAACAACAAATCGAAAGTGCTATAGGAAATCTGGATTAAAAATTAGGGGTATGCCATGAAGTCTTTGATTGGTGAACTGAATCATACAAATGTTTTCTTTGTAGTTGTGATGCATAAAATAAAGGGAATCGATTTTGGGTCACATATAAGTGTATTGAAATGATCAGTGGTAGGTATAACTCATATTCCTGAAATGTGGCTATATGGTCAGGCTTTCGTAATTCCTGTCAAAGAAATTCAGTTCACTATCTATGAGGAGTAATGGTGTGTTATATCCAAAATGAAAGGGTTAGTGCAAATGTTCAGGGCCTATCACTTAATGTGCAGTTTCGGAAGGTCAACCCGGAGAGTTTGTAAACCTCAATTACAAACGGGCGATACAAATGGATACAGCAATTCTAATAAAACCAACGGCAAATACACAAATAGTATTCATTGTTAACTACAGAAATGCAACATATCACATACCCTCACCAAGTATGTTGTCGTATTGGGAATACATCTCCTTGCTATTAGTGCCTACTTAATCTCTAAAGCGGAAGGTGCACCATTCTACTAAATTCCCACTAACATTTATTCGAGTTCTGTTAGGTGAGGATATTTTTTTCACCCTAAAGAGCTATCGTTCAGGGGAATGATATCTTTCTGCCACCCCTACCAACATTGTAATGGATTTGACGCCGAATGCAATCAAGGATGAGTTCTACCATCAAGTGAGTGACCTTCTCCACTGAAGGTGGTTGGTCGACAGATATGATTATGGTGACTGGAAGGTTGAGTAGAAAAATGAGTCATTCAAACTCGAGGGTGAGTTATTTAGGTGGTTAATGGAGATCGGTATATGGTGACTGGGAGGCTTGTAAGCAAGGGTCACTACTTTTTACAGGTGTGTGTGTGTGTGCAAGAGAAATTATTTTGAGGTGTCATGAAATTTTGACACAACCGTCACTGTTGTGATTTCCGTTACTGAGATGTCGACTGAAACAGACTGTCAGCTGTCTATGGGTGGTGTGGGTTGATGCTTTGTTTGTGCTCTTGCGCGAAGAGTGATCGTGTTTTGTTGTGTTCTAAGTTTGTTTTGTGTTTCGGTGGTTATTATAGTTGTGTATGTGAATAGATTGACTTGTGTATGTTGGTTGCACGTAGTGGTGGTGATTGTCAAGGTGAAGGAAGAATAGTAGTGAAGGATGGTAGTTACTGATCCGCTGAAAGTTTTGGGTGAGTAATAGTTGCAGTTTTTTGATGTCAGTGAAGATGTGATAGGCGAAGTAAGTTTTGTTTTGAGAGGAAGTCCGGTGAATGAGGTGTGGATTTGTGTGAGTTAGTTGCAACATGTTGAAGCTGATCGATCTATGTGAGTGATTAGGAAGTGGACTAGTTTTTGAAAGTGACTTGCTGGAGAAGTCTTTGAAGAATGAGGGTCGAGGTGTTTGTTGGCGAGATTGTGATTCTCGAGGTGAGTAGAATTAGCTCAGCTGAGCAAGTGTTAGAGAAATGAATCTTGTAAATTTGGTTATCTCTGAGTAATTCGAAAGTAATAAAATTGCATTGGATTTCATTGGAATAAAGTTCGTGGTTTTGCACGCATCACAATTTTATTTGTACCATACAATAATCATGTCATCAATCAACTATCACTATACTTTCTAGTGATTTACGCAAACACTTTTTTCCATTACATAAATACGTTCTATGTATTACATTGGATTGGTTACGAAGTTGTTCGTTTAAAAATTTGTTTTTCAGGCTCGTAAACCTCGCTTATCTTATTCGGTAACAGTTTTCACACTGACTCACGTGTATCTATTCCTACATTACCCTCGTTTGATTCGCTTGCTTACGGAGGCAATTCTAATAGGTGATTTTACACTACCAGGGTTAATACCTTGTCCTGTATCATGCTCAACTTCATATGTGGTTTTCAATGGTTCAACAACTGAAAACTGTTCTGTGAGTTTTACAAATAAAGAGGATGACGATGTAGATGATCCTTCACACGATCCGGCTATGGCAATCGCTGAAACACTTGTTGCTGCCACTGTATCTCTACGTGCTTCTGACCAAGCTGATCATGGACAGAAATTAAGTGCCTATTTAACTCACTCCGTTACTCCCAGAAACCCATTGATGTTTTCTCAGCCTAGTGAATCGCTGGAAAATGGTCTAGTTCAAGCTAAAGGTGTAACTCCTACTCTTATGTCTGTACTTTGGCCGCCTAATATGTCTCCATTGAAGCTAGTAGAGAAAGGCTCTAAAATAAGTGTAAGTTCAAAACTGAATAATATCTTTTTACATTATTTACTCAGTATAATCTAATTTACTATTACGATTTTTATGGTATTTGATTGCAAACATGTAATCACCCAGCCTGGTGATTTCATCAGTGCCTTTCTCACTAAGTGAAGTTATACGTTGAATGTCCTCGGATCTTGAATATTATCATTATTATCATTAATAATAAATCATGTAATTGTCTATAATTTTACTCTTTTTTTTATAAATTTTGTGCTGATTAAAGTTATATATCAAAGATTAAAAACACATTCAATAATTGTCATCCCCAGTTGAAAATGCCTATATTGCACATTACCATATCTTTATACTTCCAGACTATTTGAATGATTTTAATCCTACTGGTTTGAATTCCGACCGTCAAAAGTGACTAAGATCTGTTGGCTCGGAGCTAGCCTATCTCTTTTATTCTTTTCGAAGATGTGATATATTTAGGTGGTCGTGATCAAGTACATAAATCATATATTTTTTGTATATATATATGTGTCCGACGAAGGACAAGTACATATGTGCAAGATAGCATGGCGGGAGGCACAGACACGAGAAAACCAGACAGGCTTTAGACCATGAAGAGAGTGTATTGATCATATCTTCACCCTTCGACAGATTCTAGAACATAGGCATTCCTACCGGCGTCCGACAATCATTATATTTCTTGACCTAAAGGCGGCATTCGATTCTGTCGACCGAGAGGTACTCTGGCGATGCTTGGCTGTAAAGGGAATGCCAAGAAAATACATTGCACTGATCAAGGCACTTACTCTACTCGAACTCATGCAGCCAGGTGAGGGCTTACGGCGAGTTGTCATCTGAAGTGGTGATGACTAGTGGCGTCCGTCAAGGATTCCCATTATCCCCATTCCTATTCAACTTCATCATAGACGTACTAACGGACTTAACCCTAACACACTTCAGAGACTCAGGGATTGACTTGCTACCAGGGAATAATCTCGTTGACTTAGAATATGCGGACGATATAGTCGTTTTAGGCGAGGACGCTGACAAAATGCAGAGTCTACTGAACACCTTGAGCAACAATCTTCGTATGTTTGGCATGCGATTCGCCCCTGTAAAATGTAAGATGATGCTGCAGGATTGGACTTCACCGACCCCTAGATTAGAAATAGGAAGTGAAGTGGTAGAGCACGTTGACCGCTTCAATTACTTGGGAAGTACCATCAGCCCCAACGGGTTGATCTCAGACGAAATATCAGCACGAATACAGAGGGCTAGGTTCGCATACGCCAATTTACGCCGTCTCTGGCGTAGACGTGATATCCGGCTGGTTGTCGACCAAAGGGAAGGTGTACTGCTCAGCAGTCCGCTCCGTCCTCCTTTATGGCTGTGAGACCTGGCCATTGAGAGCAGAAGACATGAAAAGATTAGCTGTCTTTGATCATAGGTGTCTGCGTTCTATCTCCCGCGTGAAGTGTTATAATAGGGTGAGCAATATTGAGGTTAGGCGTCTAGTGCTAGGTAAGGCGGGGAAATCAATCGGCGAAACTGTGAAATTACTTGGACTGAGATGGTTAAGACATGTGCTACGTATGCCTAGTCATCGCCTTCCTCGACGGGCAATGTTTGCTGATATAGGGTCAGGCTGGAAAAAAGCTAGCGACGGTCAAAAGAAAACATGGCACCAGTCAATGAAATCTACAACAGTTAGTCTAAGCTACGTAGGAAGTTGTAGACTTCCTGATTGGTTGGGGTCCTCGTGACGGTAAAAACCAATGGTTGGAAACAATTGGTGACATGGCTCAAAATCGTTCTCAATGGCTGGCGCAGATGCATCCACTCCTTGTGACTTATGATTTCCAATTAACCTGTTTTGTTCTTCGTTATTACTATTCCTTCGTCTCATACCTCTATTTACTATCTCTAATATGCATTTCTCCTACTTTCTTCTCTTGCTTTGTGTGCTACATGGAGTGTGGTGACTTGAACTGCCGCATATATGTGCAAAGTTCTATGTCGAAAACAGACAGACAGATAGCAAGATAGCATGCTTAATCCAGCATTAGTGAGTATTCAGAATGTTGAGTTGTGATTTTTGCACAATACGATCATAAGTCACAAACTACACTGATCTATATTATTCAGATAAGCAATCAGTGATTGATATAATGTTTTGATCTAACTACCAAAATCTTTTTTCTTCACCTGATTCTGCTTCATCGAACATCTTTCTAAGTGAACGTTTGCTTGGCGCACGAACCATGTGTCATAGATAAAGATTTACTACCTCTATGATTAACTTACCTTCTTTAACAAAAATAATCTGTATCTCACCTCAGTCTTTATAAATCTGTAGTTCTGTCTTAAATGAGCAATGCAATGAGAACCACATATATTCTTTGCATATCTTCTACTTTCAACGGTCCTGTATCTCAGCGGTAAATTATAACAAAGAGGAGCACTGATATCTCTCTGACGTATAATTAAGGCTAATACATCTTCTTAAATTAAATTGATTAGTCAATACAGTTGATTGCATTCCTTTTAACACCTAACATTGTACCGGTACCACATTATCATTTCATATTTGGCTGAGACAAGCATATATATCAAACATTTTCAGGTTGTTTTAGTTAGTGGCTTTTTCTGTCTTGTAACACAGCGTACTTTCAACCAAATGGCTGTGTTCACAGTAGCAATTGAATTCATGAGACCCTGAATTTAAACAAAAGTAGTTAGGGAAGCAAATAAGAGGTATCTGGAGTTAGATTTTATCGTGGTTGTCATTTAAGTATACAGTAAGTATTTTGTTTTTTTCGATTTGCAAAAGTTGACAAACTATTTTTTAGGTGATTAGTTTTAGGTGTGGCTCTAAAAAACTTTCATCAATTGGATTAGTTTGAGGCACAAGGGTTCTATTGTATATGTGATGTGGCTATGCTTTTATATACATGCATCAAAACACCGTAAATTTACAAAATCATATTATTATGTCACATATTCGTAATATGGGATTTATTTTGACTTGGTTAACTTGAAAACACTTAATTCATCCCGCTAACTAGTCGAATCAACTTGAACATTATGCGATTCCAAGTTCAGGATGAATACAGATACTTTGTTTCTATTTAAGTTGTTTTGTTAGCTGTATCAAGCAGTATCATTTGTTGTGAATTATTTTCTAAACAAGAGAAATAGTCTTGTTTTCATTTGAGTATTCTTCCATCCTAGAATCTAAATTTTCAAAAAGTTAAGGGGATATCTGAAGAAGGACACAACGCTACTGTTAGGGAATACGATTCTCATTAATTGCGCTGGGCAATTATTACGTAATAATAAAATATTAAGTGGTGCACTTGTTCATAATGATGATTATGACATACTTCAAACCTTAAGGTAACTCTACAACTATCTGTCTTAGCTGTATATACCTGTTGTAAAAAAAGCTTTAATAATGTTAGAGGTAGTTAACATAAAGTAGAGTATAATAGTGCGTAAATAAACAGATCATCATGAGGTAGGTAAGTGATATTTAAGTGAGGAGTGAATTCAAGGATCTGGAAAATTAGAACCCGTAGGACAAGCTGACCTGTAAGATGTCTCACGAATTTCTGTAGGGACCAATGGTTAGCATCTTGACAAGAAGCTGTACAGGCTTGTAGATGGTAGGAGCAAAAGCACTTTTTTATTCATAATTTAGATCTGTACAACCCTTATTATTTTTTTGTTGAGGGTTCAGACTAAAGTTTAATTCTCGAGCTGTCAGAAAAAATGCATGTTGCTGTCCTACAGATCGGAGCGATTCACACTTGTGACCACTACCATATCTGCTGATCAGCATGCGCCACCCTCCCTCCTTTTTGATATTAAGCTCTGAGATTTTTTTTCGCAACAACTGCAGTTGCAGCATTGCATTGCTTTGAGCCCGTCCCAATCATATGCTGTACATTAATAGCTTTCATGACAAGCGCTTCCCATTAGGTCAGATACATCGATACCTGAGGACATTCTTTGCAGTATCACCTTTATACATGCATACAAGTATTTGTTACAAACGCCTAAGAAATTGCGTTTACTTTAAGAAGTATAAAGTATAGAAGTAGCTAGTATTACAGCAACTACGTCATAGTCTATTTAGAAGAGTAAAATGGGTAGTGGAATAATTAATCATAAAATTATGTGGAGTGATCTTGAACTGGTTATGCTGAATTTTCATGACCGATTTTTATATGGTGTGCCTCAGACATTGCAAAGTAACCCTTCAACCTATATAATGTTAAAAACACCTCGAAATGTTATAAAATTATACATTTTAGAAAAGTATATGAGAAAAGGTAGTTATTGATTGAGTAAAGTCATTTCGACACAAAAAATAGGATTGTATTATTAACTGTAGATATATGTAAATGTTAAAAGGTATGGTTGCTAATATAATCATTTCCAGAGTTACTGAAACAACTTAACGAAGATTATAGAGAATAGAAAATCAGTAGATTAGTTAAACGTTCGCTGCGTAAGTAGTGGAGTCGAGTTATACGTATGTGACTATACTGAAGACTAGACTGGCTTTCAATTTCCGTTCTACCAACAGTTGTGGTCTTCCAAACAAGCTAGAGTGGACATATTAATGTGTCTTTCTAGGCTAAGTTTAAACCCATCGGCGTTTTCACAACATCTAATTTCAGATGGTAGTTGGTTCCAAAGTGTGCAATATTTAATGGTGAAAAAGCTTGCCCTAATGGACTTTCTGTGGGTAGCCACCTTGACAAGGTAGTCGTGGTTTCGCAGCTGATATGACTTGATTTTTACCACGTTATGGATGAGTTACTATAACAATGTTTACTAATGACTTTGAATAGTAGAAGTAAGTTGCACTTCACTCTCCTTAACCACAGAAATTCTAATTTCAGACATATACACCTGTCAACATATTCCACTTGTTGGTCAAACCCTATAATGCGTTTCTTCGGGAATCTCCTGATACTCGATTTTTTTCGGTCTGCAGATCTCAGGTTACTTAATAGGAGAGCACAATATATACGCGTTAACCATTTCTATTAGGTTGGTACTACAAAACGATCTAAATAAATTAACCGAACGGGCTAACCTTAGGAGTTTGGAAATTAATTCCAAGAAAAGCGCGGTAATGCACCTAGGTCAGAAATCTCACACGTCGTACTCCATGGAGGACACAGAACTGCCAGATGGTAGGGGACAAAAGGACTTGGGAATTATTATAAGCCATAACTTAAAAACGTGCGTCGGTGGTATAGCGGTTAGGACGCTCGCCGACCATGCACATAGTCCGGGGTTCGATTCCCGGCCGAAGCACTCCTTTACCTCGCTGAGCCAGAAATAATGCTGGTGAAGAGGAAAGGTTGGGCATGAGGCTAGCAACCCCATCCTGTAAAAATAAACACTGCTACAGAAACTTCAAGCCATTAGCTTGAAGCCCTATGTTCCACTGGAGAACGTGAAGGAAAAAAATATTATTTGAACTAAGTAGATAATAGGGCTATCCAAGAAGGTAGTTAATCCTTTTTATTACTAATACAAAGATGGTTATTCTAATAAATGATGAAGATGTACGTCTCTGTTGGATACTGTCGTGTTCCGATGAATTCAGATGACAAGACCTATCAATGGAGTGTAACAAGTACTTAAAATACTTTTCAATGATGGTAACTAGCAGTAGATTGCACAGAAGTTATCTTCGATTAAGGTGATATTTTCATAACTATATTTGTTTTTCACGGTTATACAAATGATAACAGGCTACTTTACTTATTTACACTCAAGTTTAAAATTTATCCGTTAATCTTCTACAGCATATAATAGTATCTGCGGGAAATCATACGGTCAGAGGGTTTTATCCTCCGATTACTGGTTTGAATTACCCTCTGTTTTGTATTAAGAAAAGTCACATGGGTGTGCAGCTTTATTATGTAGTTCTTAGAATGAATTTCAGCGTTGGTTTTTTTCTTTTTAGTTGTGTCGAAACTTGTCGAATCCATTCACACTGCTGAGTAACAAATAAAAATTGTATTTATAGCTTTTTCGTAATGTATTATTTAGCTTCTGCAAATCTAATCGGTGATCGGTCAGTGTTGGCATTTATATAGGCTTTTCATCTGGATACTTTGATGTTGCCACTAATCTCGCTAACTGACTGACTGAATTTCAACAGAGAACTTTGCACAGAAGTTCAGCAGTAGTATAAGTTGCCACACACCATATGAGTACACTGAGGTAGAGAAGGAGGATGAACAGAAATGTGCTGGAGGAAAGAATAGCAACATGCAGAAGCGCATATTGCCTATCAGTCAGTAGCTCAACAAGTTCAAAACGCATACGATGAAATTTTAAATCACCACTATTACCATAACTACTGCTGCTTTTACTGGAATACTACAACAGTATGTGTATCTGCTAACTAGTCGATATCGTTTGAAGTGGCGGTTCCTGATTAAATTTCTAGAGTGAATGACAAACAACATTTTGCGGGAAAGTAAATCTAATAAAATCCCGAACAGATATCCACACATTTCTTGAGTCTCACTCAGACATTATTCACCATCGGATGAAATTAATAATTCATGTCCTTTCAATACTTGTATACACATTCATGAATTTATAAGGTACACCTATCTGATATAGTATAAAGCGTGTAAGATTTGTTATGTAGATGACGTTAATCTGTACACAACTAATTCAATATTTGGAAAATGTAATGTCGTATGACATTGTATGAGAATATCAGTGTAAATGCACTTTCTCTGTTTAGACTGCATGGTGCATTTTGTTTCATTTTTTCTGACTCTTCAATGTTAATGTAAATCAAAAAATTTTTTATAAACAAGTGTAAATGTCGTTCACACTTAGCTTAGTTGGATTTAAATTTTCTGAATGATTACAAAAAACGGAAGTTTTAGTAAAGAATAGTTGGTAGACAGAAAAATTCAGGCTGATGTCTAAACTGATTTGATGCGTGATGTGATTTGTCAATAATATGGACATCATATTGACAAGTTATCGTCCGTCATACAACGCTTTATGGGAGGACAGTTGGATGATTGAGATGTTCAAATATTGTCATTCTGCCGTGTTACAATGGAAATTAAGTACTTATACTGAAGGAAAATAGTATCCGATGATCACTGTTTTCAAGTCGTACTCTGTTATCATTATACTGGAAGTTATGATGAATGGGGTTGCTTATTGTTATTATTGTCTCCTTTAGTTCCTAGAGGGAAATAGGGCTTCAGCCGCACGTCTCCATTGCGTTCGGTTCTCTACCAACGTTTTCACCTGGCTCCACGTGTGCCCACATGCTCTCATCCCCTCTTCGCATGATCTCCTCCATGTTATTCTCGCACTGACGACCAACTCGCCTTTTCTCATTCGGGTTCCACTCGAGAGTTTGGCGTGTGATATTACAGAGTACCGCCAATCCACCTCCATTTCTTCCTGCATATTTGTTGCAGTGCTCACTTATTTTGAATTCGAGAACCCTTTAATTTTGTAACCGTAGATATTTAACCTCCAATGAAGTCTGGGTTTCACGAGGTCATATGGGAATTCTTTGGGATATTTTTTCAATATCTATTCATTGTTTTGTTATAGAGAAAGCCATATACCAACAGATACATGAATTTACAATTTATGTTGTATTGATCACGTTTCGACTGTTCGATATTTTCTGACTTTTGTATCTTTTTCTCTCACATCATATGGATGGTGATGGTGAAACAGTCATTAGATTCTGCCAACCTTCCCTCTGATCCCCTCCCGGATTCGAAAATTGAACTGGCTTCTTCTCCTCAATGTACAGATCCTTGTATAAGTGAGTTTATCATGTGAAATTTTATGGTAATTATTTGATTAGATGTCTTTACGAAAATATTCACGTAATCTCGTAATTATGAAGGAGCATTATTATTATTATTATATGAGCTACAAATCTCTAGTATTATTTTTTTGTTTCATAATTGTACTATATGCTTATCTAACCAATGATTGCTATTAGTTTTATCAATATCAATATGTCATCAGATTCTGTGATACGGCTAAGTTAAACTTTAAGCACCACTAACTACCAATGGAGTGCGACCGCACCAATGAACTTGAGACGCTCCCTGAGCAAGTTAGTGAAATCCGGCAAATAATGTTGTCATCATCAATAAAATATGCTCATCGAAGTGTTATGCTCTTAAATGGGATATCTGGCAAGTTTCAGCTTATGTTTGGGAAAGATCAAGTTACCCTTTAAGCCAAGGACAAGTTAAGGTTAGGTTAACCTAACAAAGGCGACAATCGATTTGATTTGAGTTAGATTATAGTTAGTTTAGGGATATTTTCACGTTAGGGTTAGGTTCAGGAAAGATTAGTGTTATTTTTAGGGTTAGAAGATCTTAATAATTACATGCACAGAATGTGGTTAAATTTCTCTGTGCACTGTGGCAGAGTAAAATTTATTTTGATAAAGTCACAGGGTGTTATGCGGTAATATTTACTGATGATGTCTGGAGCACCATTTGTTGCTCAGTAAATATTACTGCATAACATTATGATGCTCTATCAAAATAAATTTTACCCACAATGGAATTAAACTCTGTTGATACTCCAACCTAAAACTGAGAGCTATTTTTGTCACATGTGAGAGGAATGTATCCTTCACGTGATTGATGCGTTCGAGGTCATTCTCTGATTGGCAGTTAGTGGTGCTTAAAGTTTAACTTTGCCTGTGATACTTTCTAATACTAGAGTGTGCCCACAAAAATATGTGTATGTGAAGCATTTGAAATAATGTTAAGAGGACTCAATAATTAATTTCATATTGCATAGTCAGATTCATACTTCCACTGATATCACTATTTGTCACATGTTATATAGTATAAAACAATATGAAATATTTACCAATTACAATACGTATAAAATCTAATCTGATTTCACTTTTTATGCTTGTGAAACAAGTTGCTCGGCTAGTATCATATGGCTCATCATCATCAATAGCTTTGAAATTTCAGTATTTTCAACTTCTCAGTGCTTCATTATGCTTTCATCTTCAGTTGTAAATATTTCCTTACCGGAATAATTGGCTTGATCAATATTGTATGTAACGTATCGAGAAGCAATTTCTTGTTTAATTAAGAAGACTAACAATTTTCGCATCTCATCATAACCTAATTAACGTTGACAAATATTGGATCATTATGAATATTAACATCTTTCTAGGTGTGTATCGATAGTTTTTATTATTGTCGTAATCTTTGTATCGATTGATTAGTTGAATCTGTATCATACGTCAATTTACTTCAATGTGATATTCACAGTAACTCTGCATTTATTAGTTTGTGTATAAAAATAAAAGTAGGGTTGGAAAGAGATGTGTTACTTGAGACATCATTATTGCTTAAAAGCATTGTTACGAGCGGGCGATAAGTTTCACTGATAGTTTGTTGCTTCATTTCATTTATTGAGTGAGGGCTGAGATAATGCCCGGGCGCCCAGACTGAAGCAGGTGATTTTCTTAAGGGATCACCCCCAACCTTTGACTTGGAGTCTAATTCGCTCGGCAGCGGAGCAGCGTAAGGAGCTGTATTCCCATGGTTGTCGGTGACCAATATAGGTTCATACGCCATTTGATCCGATTGGATTCTGGAGCCCATGTACCACATGGCAACTGCTTTTAGTCTAACCGCTATGCAAACAACCTACCTGACATGGTAGGACCTGCATGAACATGAGTCCCAGCCAGTTTAGCTTGTTGCGTCACTGCGATATTCAAGCCCGACCACCACGACAAGGTGGCAGTAGCATCGGTTGGTGCGTCACGACTCCCTTGTTGGGGTCCGAGAGGTAGCTCAAATCGATAGCTCGAAATGTTATCGGATATGACCAAGAATCGTTATCAATGGCGAACGTGTTGCAATTTCCTTCTTTCTTCCCTTCCCGATGATAGTTGACGAATACTGTTTAAACTTGTTAAGCATGGCTATTTCCTTCCTGATGAAGTTTTTTTCCCGTTTTCCACCCATATTTTTCACTTTTAATCTATTTGTTTTATTATTATTGTGTTGTGCATCTTCTTGGTGACATATTGTACCAAGTTTTTCTGCGTTTAAATAAATAAAATAATTTATTATTTCAAGGTAGTTCATACATTATTAAGATAAAAGATGACATAATAATGGTTGTAAAATTTACTCATTGAAAATTCCTACTAGGATATATAGAAAATCAAAACAAGTGATTCAGCAAGTAGTAATAATAATAATAACTTTATTCCAAACAGTACTTTTGATGCAAAGTGTGCTTTTCAGTATGTAGTACAATAGGGCATCTAATTTTCTCTTTACATTACACAGTAGGATGAGAAATTAATTAAGAGGGTATTTACCCAGATAATAATGTCAATAAGAATATGAATGTAAAATTAAAATCAAACGGAAATAGTGGCGGCAATATACTTATGGCAAAAAAAGATAAAATGGGTTGTTTACTTACTGCTTCACAGTGTAGCTAGTAAAGTCACATAAAATACACCCTAAATGAGGTATCGTTGAGCTTTTATAATTAGTCGTCCGATTGCTTCTAGTTCTACCTGATGGGATGCAAAGGGGTTGAGTTATGTATATGAAGGATGCTCAGAGTTCGGCAAGATGATATTTGACACTTTCTTGTATGAGTTCAAGTGTCTGTTCACAACAGTATTGACGAATTCGCTTAGCGATACCCTACTGGTTCTACCGACAGCCTATAGTACCCTTCACAAAGTAACAAAGTCTTTCTCAAATAGCCCAGAAAATATTAAGAGGAAGCAATGAAGAAGAATAGGTAGAATACAAGAATTAGCAAACTGTGAAAGTAAAGACTGAGTGATACCCGAATGTGTTAACTTCCTAACGTAGAGGGTTAGAAGAAATATCCGTCTATAAATTAACGTGATGTGGAAAAGTCAGAGGAAAGACGTAATCCAAGGTGTTTTAAATTTGACTTAGCTTCAACTTCAGTATTATCTATGATAAAATAATCATGGGAATGAACCAGTTTATGTAAATCGCGCCTGTCACCGTATTGTTTGGCTAATTTTCACCTCAAAGAACACAACCAAATCGAAATTATTCACATGAGTTACAAATCTTCTAGATTATTTCAAGATCTTACGAGCTTCTATCCAGTCGAAAAATGGAAAAACTTTACCAGAAGGCAAGTGTCGACAAAAAAATGATACTTTTTTTCCTCATTAATGTCTCCGCCAACAGATTCTACCAATTAGTCAAATAAAAACCACCAATTAACTGCCTTCTAGGGTGGAAATTAGCCGAACGATACGGAAAACAAATGGTAAAACTAATGACCACTGATGCACACAATCAGATTAGAAAATACCAACATATGATTAAATTTCAAAAAGAAAAGGTTGGACCAATTCTCAACCCAGAACACCTATAAACTTTGAACACTTCCATCAAAATATTAAGCGGACGAAACAAAGAATGATGGTGAGTTGTCCTGAAAGAAAAATTAGTTAAAATTTCTAAACGACCATCTGAAGAAACACTGAACAATTGCGTAGTAAATTCATCGAAACAACCACCATCGAAAATAGAAGAGCAACTTCTCCAGTCGTTGAAACCTACCCAGTCTCTTATTCCAGATGACATGTCCGTTATTATCCTCAGAAAATGTGTGGGTATTTTATGTCGTCTTCTCATTGACATTTTCAGTGAATCATTTTCCACTAACGTGTCTGCTTCTTGGGAGGATGTTAAAGTTGCTCCTGCGTCTAAATCATCAGGTGGATCGTGCGTTAAGTTTAGACCTTTCGTTATTACTTCAACTTTCTTAAAATTAATGGAAAAACTGCTTTTACTGAATCTTGAACCTTCATTGAAGGTTTCTAGCGACACTGAATAATTTGCTCATAAATATGGTAGATTTACTTTGGTTGCCACTGTAATCTCAAATCATAGTATTGTCTCTCGTTTAGACAGAAGTGTTAAATATGTTCGGTGTGATTTCCTTGATTACACATCTGCCTCTGACTCTGTACCTAGGTCTCTTTTGTTGAGCAAGCTTGCTGAGACATAAACAGGGTGCTGTATTAACTAATGGTTGCATCCTCACTTTTCTGTTAGGAAGTAGTAGACTGCATATAATGGGAAATCGTCCACGGTTTTACTTACTCTAGCCAATGTTCCTAAAGGTGCTGTTATTTCTCCCTTTCTGTTTTCTTCTCGCATTGAAACAGTAGAAGATGAAGGTTTGGTAAAGGAATGTTTATGTAGTAATTGGTATCTCTATATAGCCAAATTATGTTAACCTTATCTTCAACGCACCATATGCACAGATCTTCGTGCTGTGGTACTTCCGGACTTCATGTTGTGTTTCTTTGCGTTCCTTTCACGTTTCTCATGAATCTCCACAACGCTGTATCATTTGCCTTCTCTGAACTCCAATGTATCTCCCTCCTATTTAAAGTTTTTATGCCGATGAACGTCTCTTTATATACTACCGATAAATCTTATCAGTAGCACACGCCACACCAGTCTCCCTATCAAATAGTTTCGAACGGAGCCTCTCTGATCTTCTTGGTTTCACTCCTTCCTATCGTACCTTGGTTCGAGCTCCCTTATCCCACTGAAACCATTTCTGCAGTTGGCTAATGTTAACCCGTTTCTGTTTATTTCCTCTTTTGATGGTATAAATGCGACCACGTCTCTCGATAACAGCAACTGGTCCGTCCCACTTTGGGAGGAGTTTCCGTGAACCCGGTCCGCATCTAACCGCGTCGTTTCTTTCTCTATACTTTACTTGATCACCAACCTCAAAGGTTCTGTG